CAAATTGACTTAAAAAGATGGGAAATTGAACAATAAACTCTTTTCATTTAGAGCAAAGCATAGGTTAATTGATGACTTTGTTATTTTTCAAAAGAAGTACGAAAAAAATGAAAAAGACTTTTGCATCAACCTAATATTTAGAGCTGAATCGTTGTCCCACAGGTCTCCGAATCAAATGGTACCCATTCGGTTGAAAAAGATTGACTTTTGACTCATCAGTGAAAATAACATTTGCCCAAGCGTTGGCGGTCCAACTTGCGTTGATTGGTTGCTCCAACTTGATCCAACTTTTTCTCAAACTGCAACCTGAGCTTTCGGTGCCTGACAGCCTTCTTGGCAGCTTCTTGGCAGCTCCTCTAGTCACCAAGCCAGCTTGAATCAAACGACGGCTAACAGTTTTTCATGAGATAACCTTATTTGAAAGATTCTTGATGAAAGCCACGCCGTCGGTTGAAGGCTTTTTCGGCTCTTCTCGATGAGCCAAAACGAATTTACTATCCTCCCTTGGAGTTTGGAGTTGTAACCGGTGGGCGGCCTGTTTTGAACTTTCAATGAAGGTTTCCAGTTGCGTTTGCGTTGTGTGTGATGCGTTCAACTGTCCTCGTACCGCATTTGAATTTTTCCGCGATGTCCTTTACTTTCTCTCTTCTATTTCTTGCTTCTACAATTGCTTTTTTTGTCTTGTGTTGATAAATACGCTCCAGGCATCTGAAAAAAATTAAAACATTACAAAAATATAGGCAAGATACACAAAAAAAATAGAAAAAAACGAGTATTGTAGTAAGCCGCCAAGACTTTTGTCCATTGTTTTTGTGACCTTTTTGTCGTTAACGCTTATTTTTGTTGTTTAAAATAAACTTTCGATTTCAATGCTTGGCCAGAGCTAAAAGTAGAGTAAAAATGCTCGAAAATACTTGTGAGAACTTTTTTATTGCCTCTCAGAAAGGTACATAAATTTGCGTTTGAAAGTTGCCACCCAGGAGCCGCCAAGCTTTGGTCCATGACTGTACCTTACGAAAGATCAGGAAAATGCAAGAGATAGGGCTTTTCTGAAAAATTGCAAAACTGTTTGTGTCTTTGCAAGTTTACAAAGCCAAAAAAGAAAATGGCAGATTGAGCAATAACCAGTGTTAACTTACCGGTTTTGAGGCAAAAATTTCCACGATTACCAATCTAATAGGAGTTCCTTTCCTTTTTCGCCTGTTTCAGAACAGTGCTTTGCGAAAGAATGCAATCAAAGCTAAAGATACTCAAAATACAACTTTACTGCTCAAAACATTAAAATAAAAATGCGAAAAAATTGATTTAAGGGGGATCGAACTCGAATGCCAAAAATGAGAGACAGCGACACTACCACTGCACCACCGAGTCACTTCGTTGAGCGACGGTAGTCCTTACAAAGTCATAAGTCGCTCAGTGCACTAGTGGTCAAATTTCAAATTTCAAAATCAATTTACAGAAATCTAGAGCGTTTGAGCAAAAACTAAAAACACCATCGTGTTGCCCGTGTCCGACTTGCATAAGTCATATAGCTTTGCGTCGACTTCACGCTTCCGAAATCTGACCGCCCCCCTAGTTAGGTTCTTCATTTTTACCTAGTGTTTTTCTCAACAATGTGCATAATCTTGCCTCTAATACCGTAATACCTGTAATAGTGGGGGTGGGACAAATGCGACCTTTTTTTTGCGCACCTTTTTTCTTGCTGGAAAAGCCCTTAGGAAAAGTCGTAGAGCTTCAAAAACGTTTTCATAGAAGGGAATCGTATGCGTAGATTCAGAATTTTGACAAATCAGACCTCGCTGACACGTCAAATTTGGGCTAAAAGGCAAAAACTACGCAACTTAACGCTTTTCCGCAGTTTTTGTTTTTTAGCCCAAATTTGTCGTAATTCGGAATCTACGCATACGATTCCCTTCTAGGAAAACATTTTCGAAGCTCTACGGCCTTGCCTAAGGCCTTTTCCAGCAAAAAAAAGGTAACATTTGTCCCACCCCCGTAATAGTAGCGCTCCCCCCCCCCCGTACAGTCGCGTAGTCGCAAAATTTTTACTAAATCAGAGCACGTGTGGCTGACTGGTTAAGTGTCTTTTATCTTAATCGGAAGGTCGAGGGTTCGAACCCCACATGCCCCTTCGGTCACCCCCTTCGGATTTCCTTTCCCTTCGGGTTGAGAGGTTTTCTGGAGGGCAGTCTGGTGGTTGTGGCCCCAGTTCTTTAAAGTGACAAGCCACTCCTTCATCGTCATCTTCCCTTCACCACCAAAAAAGCTATTTAGTTCCCCATTGAGCTTAGGGTTAGGGAGCCGTCTGTCATGACGTGGGTTAAGTTAAGATATAGCCTAGTATTGTGTGTGTCGTTGTATTGTGATTGATATATTTCGTGTATGCGATAAATTCACCACTGGTAGCCCCAGTCGGTATTTTTTTTTTTTTAAATCACGGAATGGGAAAAATGCTACCTTTTTTGCGCACTCGGTCTATCAGCGTACCTTTGTTCGCGTTTTAAAAAAGCTATAAAAAGCTAATATTAACCAATTTCTATTCCAAAAGCTGTTTTTCTGGGTAGGGTACATGTGGAGTATCCGGGGGTCTTTCAATATCCGGGGTGGTAAAATTTTAAGATCCGGTGGGATAAAATTTTATATACTTTATATACGACCCCTTTTAAAGATATTCAGCCGCTTAAGTGATTTGGTGGCAAATTCCCTTCAAAGGTAAAGATATTCAATTTATTCGAGGTGATTACTTGATCAAAAACGTGACTTCTACAAGATTTTTTTGTCATTATTAGAAATGTTGATACTATCCTAGTTGGCGGGTCACTTTTTTTTCTTCAAAACCATTTTTTTGGGGTAGTTTTATGTGTTGATATTTGGCCTCCTGGGCTAGAAGTAAATTCGATAGATTTTTACAAGTAGTATTCATTGTCACTGTTACAAATAGTCACTGTTGTACTTCACAAATTTATTTAATTATTATGTTTGGTTTATGTTTATGTTCTTGCATTACTCGTGCATCTTGTTTACCCCGGATCTTAAAATTTTACCACCCCGGATATTGAAAGACCCCCCGGATACTCCACAAGTACCCTGGGTAGTTTTAGGGCGTAGAATCCAAATTTTGACATATTAATTTCTTTCAAACTATGACTCGCTCGAAAACCTATTCTTTTCTTGCTATTGCAGAGACGTGGCTAATAAATCTTTTGTTTCCTCTATTCTAACTCCCGGAAATAATTATTCTATTTTGCGTTGGGACAGATCTGACTCTAGAAAATCTCATGGTGGTGGCGCTATTTTCTTGCTTCTAAATTCTTTTAAACACTCGTTGATTTGCTCTGGATCTAAGTTTAACTGTGAAATTATTATAGTGGATGTTTTTCTTGCCAAAAAGACCCGCTTTTTCATTATTTATCGCCCTCCTGATGGAAATATAGAAGGAAAATCTCTTTTTGACCATCTATCGACGTTTTTTGAATTCTGCTGAGTTAAACATTCTACTAGATAATTTTCATTTTCCGTGTAAGCTTTTTCAATGATTCTTTTGCATTCGATAAAGATCATCACCCCAATATTTCACTTGAAAGTTTCCTTGTTACGAGCTCTCTTTTCATTTGAAATACATTTTCTACTTTCTGCTGCTCTTCTTCTATTTTAGATATGGTGAATTGTGACTGTCCGGACGACGTAATTGATCTGCAAAGTTTGCCGCCTCTCCTGGGCTCTCACCACCGTTCAATCAGCTTCAAAATTGGTTCAAACCGTCTTACTCCGAAGGAAAGGGATCAAGTCTGTTTTGATTTTGGTTATGATTATGACAAAGCGGCGGTGTGTATACTAGATTCTCTAGATCGATCAGATTTTTGTGTTTCCTCAAATTCTATTAACAAAGATTATGACATCTTTTGCGCTAGTCTCGTTGGAATCGCTGGAATTAGCGTGTGGTCATCCTCCTTTAATGGCCGCGCCGCACATCTTGAGCTAAAAGTAGACTAGCCCATTTTTTTTCCGTCGTCCCCATTATTCAAAACCCTTAAACGACCCTCTAGTTAGTAAGGAGCTGAGTAAGCCCTCCAAATATTTCATTAATTACATTGGTAAAGATGTTTTGTTAGGGATTTAGATGTTCACATCTCTCCCCTTTTTAATTTGACTAAACACATTGAAATCGCCTGTCGAAAGGCTTCTTTTGTTTTCATATTCTTAGATCGATCGGTCATCCCGACCTAAACTCTTACTGTAAATGCTTGACCACTTAGAGCCGACCCATTTTAGAATATGCTTCTATTGTTTGGTCTCCTCGTTCACAAGTCTCCATTGAACGTTTGGAGAAATTTCAGAGGAGGTTCACAAAAATAGCTTTATGGTTAATTGACTATTCTGAATATTCTAGCTTGATTTACGAGAATAGACTTGCTCTTTTTGAACTAAAAACTTTACAACATCATCGCTTTGTCATTGATCTAGTCGAAACTTTCGAAATCCTGCGTCGCAAACAGATTAGCCCTTTGTTTGTTGACTTTTTCAAATTTAACCCGAGATCAGAGTCCAGAAGTGGTGCATTCATTTTGCAGATTCCTTTTGCGTCTAATGCTACTTTATTAAACTCATTTAGAGCCGCTAGGTTATGGAACTTGCTCCCAAATGACATAAGATGAATTCAGGCACTTTCCATTTTCAAGAAACGAATCGATGCTTTAGATCTAACGACCCTCTCTCGTAGGTAATGTGATTATTAGCATATTCACTATATCTTGTATCTTCCTATCTTTCTTTTGTCTCTACATTTATGACTCGCTGTGCCTTGCTCTATGATTTATTGGGTTTCACATTACCATCTGAATAAATTATCATTACTAAAAGCATTTTCTTCAAAAAATGGTTATATTCTAGACTCGTGTCTATTGAATTATTAAATTTATTGATTATTTTCTTATTAAATAATTTTTATTCAATTTTATGCATTTTATTTTTCTTATTAAGATCTGATTCAGCAGCTAAGAATGGACCCATCGCCACTGGATTTGGATCCGGCACTGCGTAAAGTGCTTTCTCAGCTTGCAACTGATGTTGTAAGTTTTGGATTATCTAAGTCTCTTAAATTTAATACTAAAAGTCGATATTTTATGAAAAGACTAGATTACAAGCTAAAAAAACTTTCACTTTTTTCCAAACCCGAAAACGCACTAGGTTGTCAAAGAAAAAGGTATGACATCGGCTTAAAAATTTCTAACTTCAAATAACTAATGGATTGAACAATTAGGAAACTTAAACATTTCTTTGTAACATGACCTTTATATATTAGAAGCTTTTGCTTTCGGGCTTACTCGAGAGCAGGGGATGTTCCAGAGCACTACGACCTGTAAGCCAGGTCAAACAAGGTTTAGAACTAGGTCCAGTGCTGGAGAGCTCAAGACTTAGCGAAGCCAGGTCCATGACCTAGCTTCTGGTCTGGCCAGAGTTCAAAAGGCCGTGACCTTTTAAAACGAGAGCAACTCCACCTTATAGAATCGACTACGCTGATTCCGAATCCTTTTTCAGTTTTTACCCCCGATGCTTGTAACGCTAGATATCTGGGTTACAAGTTTTAGGCCTACTTACTTGTTTAACCAAGCCAACTAGCGGCGTGGTGTATCGCCAAAGCTGCCGACTAAAGTGAAAAGGCAAAATGAACGTATAACCTAAGATGAATTGAAAAAAATGGCACAGAATAAGTTTTTAGTTAGTTGAATAACATTAACTAGCGGCGAGATCACAGCGTTTTAATTGGGCGCGGAAATGGTGTCCAAACTTTTGACCACTACTGAAAAGTAGAGATAAAAGTAATGATTTTTTTATCGGGCCTTGAATTGGGAGCCTGTTATAACGTGTAAACCTACAAAATGTGCCAGATTAAAAAAAAGCAAAAGAACCAGGGTGCTATGAACCCATAGTCGGCAGCTTTGGCGATGCATCATGTCGCTAGAAAAAACCAGAAAACAAAAGCTTTACAAAATCATTTATAAAAATTTTGAGGTTTTCTAATGCTTCAAACCTTTTTATATCTTGACCAGAATCTCAAACCATTTTTTAGACTCAACGCGTGCATTGTTGTTGTGACGATTGTCCACCGAGAGCAAAAGGTGGATGGCGGTCACCGCTTCTTTTTGAGCACATTATCAACAGACATGAAAAGTGAGTTTTTATACGGAATCTAATTATGACGAAAATTCTTAGGAGTGTACCGAAAAACTGGAAATGCACATATGAGCCATGCCGTGGCACTTTTTTCAACACTCTTGATGCCATCTCGCACAAACATGACCGAGGAAAGTCTTATGTAAGGATTTTCATTTCTATATATTATACAGGGTGATTCAAAAGTTTCCATACAACTATTTACTAAAATCTGATTTTAAAATGACCAAGGAAAGCTATGCAACTAAACTTTTTTTCATTGAAAACCTTAATAAAATTATACTTAAAACCAATAAGGAGCTCATAGTTCATAATAGCTTTTTATATGGTTGACCCTTTGAGCCGCGCACAATTGGTCGATGGCACGCTGCCGAAATCGACTTTCTTTTCAATTTTTTAGTTATGCGTGAAGTTTGGACTAATCCCAAACAAAAATTTATAGACTTAGTGTTCATTTTTATGCTAAAACGTTAGAAAATAATTTTAAAAGCGTTTAAGCTAACATTTATTTGGATAGAGATCACTGGTATCAAAGTCAGCAGATTTTGGTACTTTAATCGAAAAAAGCATTCTTCAAAAAGCCCCAGAAAGGGTGTTCAATATCAAGTTGAGTTTATTCTATTTGGAAAAAAATGTAAAGTTTAAAATTTGTGTAAATTGTTCAATTTCATATCAAAGTATAATTTATTAAGGTCTTCAATTAAAAAAAAAGTTTAGTTGAATAGTTTTCCTCGGTCATTTTAAAATCAAGTTTTAGTAAAAAGTTGTACGGGAACTTTTGGATCACACTATAGTTCGATGGGAAAACATTTCGAAATTAATTTCTTTCAGATTCAACCCTACTATGCCCAAGAAACATTTTTGAGGGATACAAAGGCCACCAGTAACCAGGATTTTAATGAAAAGTGGGCATTGTTTTTTAAAATGTGCTTTATACTCGAATTTGTAAACACAGCATTTCTGGTGCACTAGATTCTTCGTTCTTCTAAGCACGAGTTGGGCCCGCAAGTAAAACGAAGAATTGGATGTGCCAGGAAGTGCGTGTTTACAGATTTGAGCACAAAGTGCTCTCGGAGACAAGACTAAATCTATCCGTCTATGTCATTCGTGCTCACAAAATGCAAACGCACCCTTTCTGGTGCATTCGATTCTTCATTCTTTGCGTAAAAACGGGTTGATGTTGCAAGAAAAATGGAAAAATTGAGTGCGCCAGAGAGTGGGTTTCGCCAGACATTTCGAGCACAAAGAACTTTTCTCGAGAGATTCGCAAAGCTATAGTTCTATAGCGTAATGTTAAGAATTCAATTTAAAGTGCTGAATTTAGGCAAACAGCCTGGGAGAAACCGTGGTTTATTTACAATGAAACGATGCTGATCAACTCCGTCGACAAGTTGATTCGAGTTTGTTTAAAGATTAATACTTTTCGATTTAAAATCTATAAACCTTGAAAATTTTCTGCAGTAATTACATATCATTCAATTTCAGGATGGGTACTTGTTGCCAGGACCACGGCTGTTTCAGCAAAACGAACGGTAAGTTGGAGCCGATGGAACGTTCTTTGTGCTCAAATTTGTACACGCACCCTTTCTGATGCACTGAATACTTTATTTTTCTCACGGCAATGATTTAGAGACTCAAAAAAATGAAGGTGCACCAGAAAAGGCGCGTTTGCATGCTTGTGCTCACAGTACACAAGATGTGGAAAATGCTACAGGGTTTTCAAGAATTACGGGCACTTTTTCTCTAGCGCGTAGCTCCGCCTAGAGTTAACCATTTCCCATAAACCTTTTTGGTGAATTTCCTGCTTATTTTCAACACTTTACTTCTTCGATACTTTACTCAGAAACTCAAAATTAGCAATTCGAAAGAACTTCAAATCTCCAAAACTCGAGGGGACGCGGCTCCTTGTGACCAAATTTTGAACATAAATGATTATTATTCAAAAACAGTTTAGATTTTCTAAATTTATAATTTAGGTATTCACAAGTGTTTCATCCATGATCGGGTAGTGATTATTAAAGTAATTCTTTAAGTTCAAAAGGTCACAAGGAGCTGCGTTCCAAAGGCTCTCGAGTTTTGGAGATTTGAAGTTCTACAGAATTGCTGATTTTGAGTTTCTGAGTAAAGTATCGAAGAAGTAAAGTGTTGAAAATAAGCAGTAAATTCTACTAAAAAGTTTGATGGAGAATGACTAACTTTAGGCGGAGCTATGCACTAAAGAAAAAGTGTCCGTAATTCTTGAACACCCAGTACAAAAGCAAGTTTCCAGTACCGGCAGCAGCGCCAATTCCAATGCCATTACTGAAAACCCATCAACATTGGGTGTCTCATACTCTCGGCGGCGCCCACCATCTCCACAACAGAATCGAGAACCACCGCGGACATTACCAGCGCCGGCGCCACTTCCAAAGTCAGCAGTCAGAAATGAGAGATGTGAGTTTGTGGGCTGAACTAATAATCCCAAATATACAGTAACCTTTTACAGGGTGACCAGAAGTAACCCGTCCTTTTTTTTTCTAGGCTCATATTTCTGTTATCTGTAGACCAAAACGATTAATTTCTTTTTTAAGTGAAAAAGAATTTTAAAAAGAAATTAATTGTTTTGATCTACAAATAACAATGAGCCTAGAACGGACTATTAGGATGGGTTATTTTAGGTCACCCTGTAATTAGTTATTACAATATTGGGATACAGTAATCCTCTCAGTTGATGTGCCATCTTTTGAAAACTATCATAATCTTGTCTCTAGTTTTATTCAATTTATCTACCGTAAATACTCTAATAAAACGCCACCCACCGTACAGTCGCGTAGTCTAACTTCTTTTTAAAAGATGATTTTTTCTTAGCCCCTAGATTTTCCCCAATTACACTTTTAGTACCAAAAAAAATACCCGATTAGAAGGGCTATCATTTGACACCCATGCGCACACTGTAGCATAAAGCAACGCGGAGAACGGGATGTTCAAAGTTAGACTACGCGACTGTACGCTCGTCATTATGGGGGTGACGTTCTATTTGAGTATTTACGGTATTTTGATCTGATTTTGTGAGGGTTCACGAAAGGGTACAGAAAGTTTAAAAAGTAGATTGATTGGATAAAAACTATGGACACGATTACTGCAGTTTTCGAAAGATGACACCTTTTAGAAAATGGATTTTGCGAGTAATACTTCAGTCAAAATGAGTTTATCTTTTAGCCTCTACCGGCTCGAACTTTCAATCTTCACCAGAAAGCGTTTTCAAGGTTTGCTTCAGGGTTTACAAAGAAACCTAATCTAGCCGCACTCTTTAACACATTCGCAACGACGGTATTTTCAGCGTAGAGTCTCGTAGTCGTTACTATTTTACCGATCATTTGGTGAGAATTCAAAAATAAACAAAACTATTATGGTCATTCGATAGCCCTGAATCTCTTCTTCAAAAATAGTACAAAGTTACCGAGGACTTTCTGCGAAATAAATAACAGAAATCCTTAAAAACTCTAGTTGATACCAAAAATCATCGTCATTAGTACGACCTACCGGTGGGTCGTATCGTCGTGAATGTGTTAAAATGTATGCTAGGGTACTTGCAAATTTTAAGCCTGAATTTTACCTGACAAATCTCATTTTCTTTTAGACAAAACAACAAGAAACTTCTCCAAAGGTCATGGATGAACTAGAACGACGAGCGTACATTAGACAATTGAAGGAAGCTGAATCGGCGAAGCAATCGACGGGAAAATCGGGTATGGCAATTGGCTTAGCTTATGGGAAAGATAAAACTTGGATTTTTAAGCAGATAGTGAAAACAAATATATTCTAAGGATACCTTTGTAGGTGAGGGATCTGCACAACCGTCTACACCAAGACGGGGAACGGGCACTATTCGGGTACGGTTTTGAAATTTGAAAACTGGATTTTCTAAAATAATTTTTGAACCACTAATACTCGGATGCTAAAATTTAGTTGATTTTGACTCTGAAATTACATTGAAAAATTTTGTGTCTAGGAAAGTGCAGAAGAAATGTTTCAAGGGTTGACTGGGCTAAGTATTTTGGTAAGATTTAAGTGGTATTCAAACTAACAGGACAGACCTTGTTAGCATATCACGAGCGATTATACGCAAAAATTTCATCCTGACCTGATGCACAGTTTTTTGAGAAATGAGGATGGATTTATTCTCTTGTAAAATAGCCGTTTTAGCTGGATTCTAGTCGAGTATTTTTGTTACAAACATCATCACACTAAGTGGTAGTCAAAAATCGACTTTTTGGCGCAACAATAACCCAATATCTACTTTTTGTATCTTTTTGTGAATCCTCGTAGAATCAAAGCAAATGTAGATATATTGGATAAAACTATAGCTAAGGTTACAATAGTTTTGAAATATTTTAGAAAACGTTAGTCAAGATATACTAATTTTCATAGGTACCCCCGATTCGTCCAAGGGAGCGCGGCGAATCTCCCCCAATGGCCGGATCGACGACTCCTCGCGATCGACCACATCTTTGTAAGTGTTTGTGTAGCGTACAAGTTTGAAATTAAGTGTGAAGAATTTTATCAAAAATTAATTTAATCCTTTTTAGCTCCTCGAGGAGGAACTTCACCGGGATATCAGCCAAACACCCCTATGTATGAAGGCGAAGACGAGGAGCCAGTGTTTAAGCCAAGTTGGGAAAGGAACCAAAACCAGAATCGTCAGTTATTTTCATATTTTGATGCCTGTGAAATCGAAATTTGCATACCCAACAGGAACTTGTAGAACTACCGTAATCACTCTAATAGAAGCACTTCCTAAAATGACGGGGGTATTGCCGCATAGTCTAACTTTATACGCTCCGTTCTCCGCGCTGCTTTATGCTACAATGTGCGCATGGGTGTCAAACGATAACCCTCTAGTGTTTTTTGGCACCAAAAACATAATTGAAAAAAAATTTGGGAGCTGGGAAAAATATGACTTGGTAGAACGTCGGTAGGCTACGCGACTGTAAGGGGGGGGGGCACTCGAGTACAAATGTTTTGGTGAAAAACCAAGAATCCGAATTCTAACAATTCTAGTGTGGTATCCAGATAAAAGAAAAAAACGCAATTTAAATAAAATAGCTCTGGCCAATTTTATTTAGATTCCGTTTTTTCTTTTGAAAGTTACAAACTAGTACTTCAAATAGAACTGAAAGTAAAGTCTTAGCTTCATTGGCTTTCAAAAGAGAAGCCAAAGGTAATGGAAATAAAGAATATCTATGATCTATAAAACTAATCATTTGTTATTCGGATAATTTATGATATATGAAGTTGCCTGTTATCAATTCATTTAGTTTAATTTAATCATTTGCTATTTTATGTAAAATTGTCTGCTAGAGATTCAAATTAGCCTTACCACTTTGTCGACTTTAGCTGATGTGGGGATGCCAATGACGCCAATCTCTAGAGATCCACGACTAGCCCTCGAGCAATATTCAACTCCAGGTTTTGAGTTTAAATTTGAAAACAGTAATCATATCTCGACAATTTTTATGTCTCTATTGATTTCCGAAGTTTCAGCAGAGCCACAACGATCTAATGACTCAAATCAGTACATCGAACGCCACGGGGAAATGAATCAAAGAGAGAATTTCAATGAAAGAAGTAGGAGTTTGAAATTTACTAGCAAAAGAACTTACTATTCAGTAAATCGTATAGAAGTAAAGTAATTGAAACACTTTACAACTTTTAGGATCCATCTCGAGAAATTCGGAGGAAAGACCCTCTAATCAAAGTTCAAATGATCGTTCACATCACTCAGATCAAAGGGATAATCGAGGAAATCGAGGTGGGAAAATTTGAGGGTCTTGGTGTACTTTGTGCTCGAAAGTTGAAAAAATCACGCTATATGATTGTAAGCAAGACTAGGGTTCGGGTCTATCAACTGCTAAATTTAGCAAAAATTTGGTTTTGCGAGTTTTGCAATATTCAACGGGTCCACCAACGCATTGAGCACGTTTGGCTTTAGAAAAATTGTTATTTGTAATTAAATTGGTAAAATCAATTCTGCTCAGTGAGCCAGTCCAGATCAAGCCAGGGTTAGGCTCGATTTTCAATTTTCACCAACTTATCAGTAAAACAGTAACGATTACGAGACTGTACGCTCAGAATAGTGTCTTCGCTAATGTGTTAAAAGAACTAACACTAAACTTGTAAGCGCTTAACGTAAATGTAATTCAAATTGAAAAGCAGATTGTTCTTTAGAAAAGTGATGCGATAGAAAACTTTACTTTTCTAAGAAATGACTAACTATTCATTGCTGCTTTTTTTTGATTCATTATATCAGCAATTTTAGATCCTCAGCAAGGCTACCAACAAAACGGTCAACAAAAACAGTCGAGATGGGAGCACAGAAATGGTAGACAAGACGAGCCAGCACAGCGAGGTGAGATGTTGTTCAACACTAAATATCTCAATAAATTTTCTAAATCTAACATTATTCAGTTCAAAAACTTTTGTAGAATTTTTCAAATTTCAAATCAGATTGAAAAAGTATGATTCTGATGAGATGACTTTCTCAAGGGTAATGCGTTTTCTAAAAAGTGGCTAACTTGGTAAGCTACCGTAATCTTTCTTGATTTTGATCTCATTCAAGTCATAGTTTGTTTCGTTATCGAACCTTAACTCTACTTATTTTCAGCTCCACAACAAGGCGGATACCAACAAAATGGTCATAATCAGCACTGGGAAAAACGGGGAAATAATGTAAGCTTAAAAGTTTTAAAAATGATCTTTTTTTAATGGCTAAAAGACTCTAAAACTGAAAAAAATACTTTTTTTCAGTGGAACCGATTTGGTCATGGAAACGAGCGCCCGGGTTCAAGAGGAGAGTACACTCCATATAACCGACGAAATGAAGGGTATGTTGGGGAAAGAATTCCCATAGTTTTGCTATCTAAAAGGTTTTAGGCTAATTTTGGTATAGTTTATGAATTTTTAGAGTTTAATTTAAAATTTTAGCCAATTCCATCAATCTTCGTCCTCGTACAGCGGCAATCGAGCACTGGAGTCGGCATCGAGACAATCGAAACGACCTCGAACTCCATCACCACCGCAGCGAGGTGGGTTCTGAGAATAGTACTGTGTATTCGACGTTATCATACTAACTTGCAATTCAAACTATCCAAATTTGTACCCATTAGTTTTTTTACATTTGAAACCCTGCTAGAAATTTATGGGGGTTTTCCAAGTTTAACAGAGGCTTTAAATTGTGATCTTCAAAGTTTGAGCTTCTAACTTTCTAACCTACTAACGTACGGTCTGAGCTAACTATAAGCCAGAAACTTGGTCTAGAGCTGGCAAACTCTTCTGAAATCTGACTTTTGAAACTTTTCAACAAACTATTTCACACTTGATCTTCGAATTTTGCCATTGCAATGACCCTTACGATTGGTGTAAATCCATAGTTTGAAATGCAAATTAGATCCTAATTCCTCTTTTTAATTTTCAGCCGATTCACTAGAAAGAGGCCGAAGCTTGCAGAGGGGAAAAATTGTGGAAGCGAAGAGGAAGCGCTCGTATTCGAGGAGTGATTCGGATTAAAAGCCAAATGTTTTGCACTTCAAACGTATCTTTGTCTTTGCAAAAACAGCTTTCTAGTTTTGTTTGAAAACCGTTTAAGGTTGAACTTTTCATTCTAACCAAAATTATTTCATTGTAACCTCCTACAAAATTGCAATTCAAGTCGCCAGATTTTTCTCGAAATATTCTTGTTTGTTAAATATTTTTCTTATCTCTGAAAGACTTTTATAGCAATGTTACCGACCTTTACAAAAATCTTACAAAAAAATCTTTACAAAAATCTTTGAAAAAATCTTTACAAAAATCTTTGAAAAAATTGAATTGAAGTTGAATTGAAATTGAATGACAAAAAGAAAGACCTAATCTCAGCATTGAAATATCAATTTTTTGCGTGATCTCGAAAAATTCTCTTTTAGCTGACTGCTGAGCTGATCAGAATACAACTTTTCTCTATATTTTCTTTCGTCTCCTCTTCAATTCCAATCCTTTTTTAACTTTTTCGAATGTTTTGTAAGATTTCCCCTTCAGATTCTTTTCAGTTTATTGGATAAAGTGTTTAAAAGTCTTTGCTTTGTCATTCCATCCAAAATTTCATCGAAATATATTCAGAGCAAATCTGTACATTCAATTGAATCCACAAACAACGAATAAAAGAAATAAAGCTAATTTTTTTGGTCAGATTTCATTAGGCTTTTATTTTATTGATTTCCGCCACAACCCCGTCCCACAATTGGATTCGAGCCTGCAATTTGAATCAATCAATCAATTATCAATCAATTATCCAAAACAATTGATTAGATTATAGATATTTGAATGCTTTTCTACAGCTTTTCTCCATTTCCCTTACCTTCAACGCTTTCTCAGCCGCGATCACAGCTTCATCCCATTTTGGATCATTCTCATCACCGCAAATCTCAGAAACCATTTGAAGGGACATCGGGCCATGTTCGTCGCCGTCAACCTGAATATTAGAGGATTATTTGGTGGTTGCTTGATGATTCATTCATATCTTTCGATATCTAGATGGAGATCTGACCTCGATGTGTCTCTCGAGATACACAATGAATGTGTCGAGTGCTCCTCCAATTTCCTTATTCATATCTTTCAATAATCCCGTGAACATGAGAGGAATCAAATCTTCGCGTCCAAAAGTGAAAGCTGAGGCAACAACGTGGAGTTTTCCTGTTCGAACAGCATCAAATGTTGAGCGGACAAAGCCACGAGCCGGCTCCGGCACACCGCACTCGGCGAACAGCTGGAAGTCGAGGGATTATTGGTTGTAAGGGAAACGATATTTTGGATTGGCTGAGTTGATGAATGATTCTCGGAGCTAGATTGGTGACTCTAGCATGTTCAAGAAGAGAGTGGCAAGAGTAAAGAGTGCTAGATCTTGTCCGGAGTTGACCCTGAGTGAGAGGGGAGGAGAGGAGCTTCCCTTCTCACTCTCATACTGATCTAAGCTCGAGATTCAGTGAATATTTGAGAAAGGATATGACAAGAAACTGTTTTGCAGGATAACTGTGATACTTGGGGAATGATCGGTTCATTATTTGTCTGATTTGGATTGGTTAGAAGAATAATACTAGGTCTAGAAGATTCTGCTGTTTAACCCAGCCGTTCCACTTCTCATCAACTGATTATGGGTCAACTAGTAACCTAATATTGATAAGTTTAATCATTTCCTTTTCTTTCTCTCACCTTTTGCAAAGCAGCATCTGAAATATCGACAGTTTTTTGACGGGAGAATGATTCGAGAAGTTTTTGAAGAGGTTCAGTGTTCGCTCCACAGGCAGCCATTGATTCCAAGTACAATTCCAAATGGGAAATGTTTCGACCACCTAGAAATTGAATAAAACTAATCAAATTAAAACTAAGATTAGATTTTATAAAGGATATTCACCGATTTGATCGCTCTCTTCAGCCAAAACAATCTCATTGATCAATCGACGCGAATCCTTTTTCCCGACGGGCCTCCATGGGACATTGATACAAGTGAGGCCACATTGGAGTTCCTGAAATGGAGGTAATGATAGGATATCTATTGTATTTGGGTAATTGAATATCTCTTGATTATAAGATCCATTTGAAGATTGATTCCAAGATTGATTCCAAGATTGATTCCAAGATCCATTCCAAGATTGATTCCAAGATCCATTCCAAGATTGATTCCAAGACAAACCTTCAACAAAGCCATGAAATCCCAGACAGCGAACACGTGATTTTCCATCAAAACACGAAGATGTTCCATATTTTGAACAGATTTGTACAATGGATGAGTCTCTAATTTCTTCAAAAGTGGCTCAATTCGAGCCTCCAAACGCTTAATAGCCGTGCTTTCAACTTGAACCATTTTCAAGGGATTTGATGGGAAATCAAAGGAGTTTGAAAGGAGTTTTTGAAAGCAGTAAAGTGCTGATACTCAGTTGAATTAGTCAACGATTTAAATATGAAATGGAAAGTGGGCGGAGTCGGAAATGGAGATTGTGAGGAGATTGCCCTTTTTCTTCGCTTCTTTCATTATTTCTCTGAACTTTTCTCGAGGACATTACCCGAGACATGAAATTTCCCAATTTTATTCATCAATCATTTGATAAGAAAAGAAAGGGGAAGAAAGGGAAAAGGGGAAAGTTCATTGACAAACGATTAAGATTGGATGATGCCAGAGTTGGCGTGAGATTTCCGAGCTATTTTTGGGCGAAAAAGGATTTCATCAATGATGCAATGAAAAGATGTTATTGATGGAGAGAATTGCTTCATATTTGTAAGAGTTTCAGAGCATTGAACTTTAGAGACTTTGGGATTTGTTTGTTTGGTGAATTTGTTATTCATCTAACAGCACGTTTCGAATATAACCCTCTAGTCTATTTGTGGCTAAAACTGGAAAGGTGTTTGTCTAGTGTTAAACAACTAGTGCCTAGTTTTAAACAACTAGTGTCTGGTGCTAAACAACTAGTGTCTAGTGTTAAAGTTAAATATACAACTTGTAGCTTTAGTCTGAATTAATCTGGCCTCTTGATAAGGCTGTCTTCCTCTCGAGCAAGTAATTACTTCAAAAAATTCGTGTAAATCTTTTTCTTTTTTACTTGAGTAACTAAAGAAAAACTCAAGTAATGGGATTTAAAAAAGTTCTTTTTTTTTCTTGTTCAAATAAGCAGTGCTATTACTTTTCTATGCTTTTTGAAAGCTTGTAATTTAGCTTTGAAAGCTAAAGACTTGAGAGCTAAAGCTTTGAAAGCTAAAGCCTTGAGAGCTAAAGCTTTGAGAGCTAAAGCCTTGAGAGCTAAAGCTTTGAAAGCTAATAGTTTTCTTAAATGTTAGCTTTTTAGCTAACAGTTACTAATCGAATTGAGTTGATCCCTCTGAATCAATCTAGCAAAAAAACCAAAATCTATTATGAAAAGGTCAAAACATTAACTCAAGCGGGACTCGAAGATTGGATTACGGTAGGTTACGGCTGATTTGGAGTTGATTACGGTAGATTACGGTTAATTTAGATTGGATTACGATAGGTTAAGGTTGGTTTGGAGTGGATTACGGCTGTTTTGGAGTTGATTACGGTAGATTACAGTTGATTTGGATTGGAGTACGATGGATTGCGGTTGATTTGGATTGGATTACGATAGGTTACGGTTGGTTTGGAGTTTGGAGCCTAAAGACTGTTCGCTTTAGAGACAAGCACTTTAGAGACAAGCAAGCCACTTGGCCAGCCTTTAAACTCTGTTAAGCAGTCGTGCTTAACAGAGTTTAAAGGCTGAAAAAAAAATTAGAGCAGAAAAACGGTTTGTTCGACAAGAAAACTTTGAAGCCCCATTAATTTTTTTCTTTTTATCCAATCTTGCCAATTTAAAAAATTTAACATAATTATCAATGATTCTGCGTTGAATGGTACTAAATACTTGATGGTTGGACGCTCCTAGACCCACTCATTCATAATTGGCTGAAATCGGAAATCATAATCGGCTGAAATACCTAATCGGCTACGACATATATGTCGTAGCCGATTGAGGATTTCCGAATGAGGGTATTTCCGGGCATCCAATCAAGAGTCACCCAATTTGATGTAGAAACTACATCAAATTGGCTACAAAATGAGCTATTAGGCAAGTTTTTTGGCTGAGTAGAAAATTTTTTATAGCCATTTTAGGGCATTTTTGAGAACCTAAACTTTGGGGGCTCAAAAAAAAATTTTCTACTCAACCAAATGAGCTAATTTCAAAAATTTATTATAAAATATCTGTATTATGAACATTTTTTATGTGGGTGACTTTTTGATTGGATGCCCGGAAATACCCTCATTCATCATCGGCTGAAATTCATGGTTCAATCGGTTACGACATATATAAATCTTCCGCCTAGTCTCTCATTTAATCACAATTTTAAGCTTTCTAGCTAAAGCTATTCGATTTTTAATCAAATCCAATTCTTTCTCTATTGTTTCTCTATTTTGTTCTCTCTCATTTCAATGTTTGTCAATTAATTCTTTCAATTGAGATGGCGACAATCATTTCACGCAATTTCCTTTCCCCATTTTTGTCCACAAAATCCACGAAATCCACGAAATCCACGAAATCCACGAAATCGAAAAATTTCACTTTTTGATGCAAGCTAAAGGCGGTTTTTTTTTGGTTATTTTGAGTACAAATGATCAAAAACAAATGATATTTTGAATTTTTACCGATTTCGTTGCTATTGTTGTGAAAATAAAAAGATTTGGAAAGAAGAGATGAAACAAGAATGACAAAAACGAATTCAATGACAAAAGTTTACACAAAATTTGTTAGGGGAGGTTAGTTTTTTAGGAAATTTTAGGAAAGCTGACATTCTTGACTCTCCAATGAAACAATTTCCGGTTCAATAGCTGTTCTAGAAAGCTGTTCTAGAAAGCTGTTCTAGAAACTGAGATCTGAACGGTTAAACATGAGCATTGGATTGAGATCTAGATTGGATCGATTGGATTGAGATCTAGATTGGCTCGATTGGATTGAGATCTCAATCCTAGTCTAGCCTAGTCAGTATAAGCAAGTCTAGTCAGTATGCAAGTCTTTTGTCAACTTTGTAGCTACTTTAACTTTAAACTTTGAAGTTTGCTTGGCTTTCATTGATTAATACGATATATAATCTTTGAATTGCTAACTAGAGAACAAATTTTTTGTAATTTGAATGAGCTCTCCCTTTGAATGAGCTCTCCCGAAACTTATCGATCACTTAAACTCATTTCTAAAGTCTCTAACTTTAAAGTTAGAGTATCAAAAATCAACCCTAAAGACATCAAAAATCAAAAACAAAACATCAAATTTCCAAAAAAGTCCATATCTGATTGATCGGCTGGAAAAGATCTCCTGATAAATGACTTGGAATCATTGATCAATGATCAATTGAACTTTAGGAGCATACAATTGAACTTTCGGAGCGTACAATTGAACTTTCGGAGCATACAATTGAACTTTAGGAGCATACAATTGAACTTTAGGAGCGTACAATTGAACTTTCAATGTTATTCCAAAGTTATTCCAAAGTTCAATTGATTTTTGCTTGATCGTTTGGTTTTTAAGAGAATAATCTTTCTTTTCTTTAGAAGTTTCTTTAGAAAGCGAATAATCCACTTCAAAATTAACCAGGTTGGGACGTGGTTTAGGAGCGTGATTTAGGAGCATCCATTTAGTTTCCAATCTTGCTTTCCAAGAACTTTAGAAGTAGTTACATACCCACAGACAGCTAAGAACTATAAACTTGATGATTATCCAAAAATAGCCATCATCCTATCAAGATAAGAGATGAGATCATTTCATTCAATCGTTTGTCAATGAACTTTCCCCTTTTCCCTTTCTTCCCCTTTCTTTTCTTATCAAATGATTGATGAATAAAATTGGGAAATTTCATGTCTCGGGTAATGTCCTCGAGAAAAGTTCAGAGAAATAATGAAAGAAGCGAAGAAAAAGGGCAATCTCCTCACAATCTCCATTTCCGACTCCGCCCACTTTCCATTTCATATTTAAATGATTGACTAATTCAACTGAGTATCAGCACTTTACTGCTTTCAAAAACTCCTTTCAAACTCCTTTGATTTCCCATCAAATCCCTTGAAAATGGTTCAAGTTGAAAGCACGGCTATTAAGCGTTTGGAGGCTCGAATTGAGCCACTTTTGAAGAAATTAGAGACTCATCCATTGTACAAATCTGTTCAAAATATGGAACACCTTCGTGTTTTGATGGAAAATCACGTGTTCGCTGTCTGGGATTTCATGGCTTTGTTGAAGGTTTGTCTTGGAATCAATCTTGGAATGGATCTTGGAATCAATCTTGGAATCAATCTTCAAATGGATCTTATAATCAAGAGATATTCAATTACCCAAATACAATAGATATCCTATCATTACCTCCATTTCAGGAACTCCAATGTGGTCTCACTTGTATCAATGTCCCATGGAGGCCGGTCGGGAAAAAGGATTCGCGTCGATTGATCAATGAGATTGTTTTGGCTGAAGAGAGCGATCAAATCGGTGAATATCCTTTATAAAATCTAATCTTAGTTTTAATTTGACTAATTTTATTCAATTTCTAGGTGGTCGAAACATTTCCCATTTGGAATTGTACTTGGAATCAATGGCTGCCTGTGGAGCGAACACTGAACCTCTTCAAAAACTTCTCGAATCATTCTCCCGTCAAAAAACTGTCGATATTTCAGATGCTGCTTTGCAAAAGGTGAGAGAAAGAAAAGGAAATGATTAAACTTATCAATATTAGGTTACTAGTTGATCCATAATCAGTTGATGAGAAGTGGAACGGCTGGGTTAAACAGCAGAATCTTCTAGACCTAGTATTATTCTTCTAACCAATCCAAATCAGACAAATAATGAACCGATCATTACCCAAGTATCACAGTTATCCTGCAAAACAGTTTCTTGTCATATCCTTTCTCAAATATTCACCGAATCTCGAGCTTAGATCAGTATGAGAGTGAGAAGGGAAGCTCCTCTCCTCCCCTCTCACTCAGGGTCAACTCCGGACAAGATCTAGCACTCTTTACTCTTGCCACTCTCTTCTTGAACATGCTAGAATCACCAATCTAGCTCCGAGAATCATTCATCAACTCAGCCAATCCAAAATATCGTTTCCCTTACAACCAATAATCCCTCGACTTCCAGCTGTTCGCCGAGTGCGGTGTGCCGGAGCCGGCTCGTGGCTTTGTCCGCTCAACATTTGATGCTGTTCGAACAGGAAAACTCCACGTTGTTGCCTCAGCTTTCACTTTTGGACGCGAAGATTTGATTCCTCTCATGTTCACGGGATTATTGAAAGATATGAATAAGGAAATTGGAGGAGCACTCGACACATTCATTGTGTATCTCG